AGCTGCTGAACCCTAAACCTTAAACCTTAAACCCTAAACCCCAAACCCTAAACCCTAAACCTTAAACCCTAAACCCTAAACCCTAAACCCTAAACCCTAAACCCTAAACCCTAAACCCTAAGGGCCGCCCCAACATCCAGCCTACAGGATCTTCATGACTTTGTGATACCCATAGCCCCCATAGTAGTTCCTTTTTTTGGGTTCATGTTTAGACTCCTATAAGGTAATCCCGAAAGGAACTACTATGGGGCCTATGGGTAGGGCCCTTCAGGAAGGCGCCCCAAAAATGAAGCAACCTTCATAAGACAACAAAGAAGACTTTCATGCTTCAGAGGGGGTGTATGTCAACTTTCGGCAGCCCGAGTCTGAGGGGCCAAACCCTGAACCCATAAATGGACCATATGGGTGACCAATTTGGGTTTAGGGGTTTACCCAAAGGCCCCATCGTAGTTCCTTTTTGGGACTACCTTATAGGATTCTAAATATGAACCCCCAAAAAGGAACTACTATGGGGCCTATGGGTAGGGGTTTAGGCATTTAATTGGCCAGTTTCGAGGCCGGCTGGGCAGATGCGAGCCATGGCACAGCCCTAAACAGGGTTCAGGGTTTAGGGTTTAGGGTTTCTGTTTTTTTGTGGCTCAGGGGTTCACCTCCAGAGGTGTACTTTGACCAACCCTCAGCGCCTACACCCAAAATGCCCCAGATTCTCGGAAAACCGTAGGCCCTAGATCTCCATAAGGGCTGGCTAGCTGCTGCTCGATGCCGTTTGAGACAGGATCCTGCTGACCTGTGGCCGCAGCCGTCGGCACCAAGTGTGGCACTGAGATGTTGATGTTCCTCCGCTCTCTTCTATAATGGGTGTTCGTAGGGTTTGGGCCTGCGGCCTGGGGTTTCGTCAAAGTCTGAGAGGACATTGCAGGGATATTATAGTCTATTCTACTATTTTATATTATATGAGATTATATTATTTCACATTATATGGTATTTGGTTTTATTATTTCATATTCTGTTCTATTCTATTCTGTTATATTATACCAGATTAGACTATGTTAGATTATATTCGATTCTGTTTCTTTGCTATTATACTATATTATATATTATCTTGTGTTATTATGTGTTATATTGTACTATGCTATATTATATTATGCTACCTATATTGTATTATATTATATTGTAATATATCCTTTTATATCATTTGATAATATCTTATGTTATGCCTGATCTTATCTTATCATATGCTATATTATGGCTATATTGTGTCATATTAGTTGGTGTTATATTATATGATAGTGTATTATATTGTACTATAGTATATTAAATTATCTCATATTATACTATCTTCTATTATCTTAGATTTTATCTTATCTTATCTTATCTTATATTATATTATCTTAAAATATATTATGTTATACACTGTACCATACTTAACTATACTTTACTATAGTAAACCATACGATACTATACTCTACGATCGTATACGGTACTATACGGTACTATACGATACCATACGATACGATACCATGCTAAATACTATACTATACTATACTATACTATACTATACTGTCCTATATTCTTCTGTACTATACCATACTATACTTTACTGTACTGTACTATACTGTACTTTGCGATACGATACTATACTATGCTCTACCATGCTGTACTATACTTATACTATACCATACTATCCTATACTATACTATGCTATGCTACGCTATGCCATCCCTTTACTATGCTATACTATCCTTTGCCATTCTATACTTTACTATGCTATACTATGCTATACCTATACTATTCCTATACTATACTATGCTATCTATACTATAATTGTATGCTTCCACTAACGGTTTGCTTGCGAGTATTACCGGCTTACAACAGGGCCGTGGCCCAGGCGCAGAACATTTCCCTTAGCGAGGGCGGGTGTTGCCTGCGTCTTCTAGTTTTGTGCATATTGTAATATAGGGCCCTAAATAAGTACCAGTACTATTCTGGGGGGTTTCGTATTATCATTATAGTATAATGGGCCCCAAAACCCTATTCTATAATGGGCCCCAAAACCCTATTCTAATTATTAAGGCCCCTGCAAAACTGGGCTTCAGGCTTGTCTGGGCAGCTCGAAGCCTTGATTCACGGTTGGCAGTCCCAGTCTTGAAGCACTCTGTGGAGCAATTGCCCATAGGCCCCATAGTAGTTCCTTTTTGGGATTAATTTATTGGATTCTAAATATGAACCCCAAAAAGGAACTACTTTGGGGCCTATGGGTAGAAGTACGTCGGGCGCATGGGAGGTGGAGTCAGGGCAACAGCGATGTCAGTAGCTGCCGTAACAGACGACTGCAAGATTGACATGGGCACGTGACCGACAGCTTGGCGCAGACGGCCAAGGCCCCACTGTGCGGCCAGCGCCCCGGGACCCCTGGAGCACTCCGCGGCCGAAAACGCCTTGGGATGCACCGGAGGCGCAGAGGCCCTTTTTAACAGCATTGCATAATACAGGGTGTCACGAGTTCATGGGAGTTACAGGATTGACCGTTGTCAAATGGTTGCTAGTGCCGCGGCCGCTACTATTCGAATGATTTTTGTTGCTTACGGGTTGCAAACGGTACGGTACCATGACCAGCCCTATCTTTGTTTGTGTGCATGTGTGTGTGTGTGTGTGGGTATGCGTGTGCTTTTGGCTGGATTTTTATTTTGCCGGCATTGGACGGTTGTCCTCTTTTAGTCGTCCAGCGCTTTGCAAGAGTTCCTGAAAACACGGTATGCGGTAGTCAGTAGCTCTAGTCTGCACCACCTAAACGATTAACTCTAGAGTGCACCGTCTACACCCTGAGCCCCAAGAATTCTACACCCATCAGCCTTAAACAAATTCGAGCAGCCACTGCCAGAAAGTTTGGCATGAATCATCCAACATCACATCATGGACTCCAGTATAACTCCAAAGGTTAACTTAAATGTCGTGGGGAAGCCGTGGAAGCTAGACAAGTAGCCCAGAAAGTGCCATGGCATCCCTGCCTCCGTGGATCTTTTTGGCGAGAAGGCTGTCCGTCAGAGCTTTTCCCACGCAGGCGGAGGGTGGAAGTTAAGATCATTTGGGGAGGTTCCACTTCTACTGAGGTCTTTCGGTATAGGGCTTAAGGGTTCATGGTAATTAATGCCTTGCGATGAAGAGCCAGGTATAGTACGGTCTTGCGACTTCAGGGTTTAGGGGGCCGCGGATCCTGTAATTTCGGGGCCTTAATTAGAATAGGGTTTTGGGGCCCATTTACTATAACTATAGCTATAATTATAATAAGGAACCCCCAAAATAGTATAGGTGATTATCTAGACCCCTGTAGTATGCAGAGCACCCTTCAGGGGGCTCTCCGAAACGGCTGGCGTACTCATGGAGCTGTTGTCCATGCAAGTACAGCAAGCAATGCAGGTACCGGCCCGAGGAATGTAGTCGTATCTCATACTCATGCTATAAGGTCTAGGGGGTTTAGGGTTTAGGGATTTAGGGGTTTAAGGTTTATAGGGTTTAGGGATTAGGGGATTTAGGGATTTAGGGATTTAGGGGTTTAGGGTTTAGGGGTTTAGGGAACCGAATGTCTTCATGTTATTCCGATTCCTCTGCAATCCCCCTGTTCGCACCACCTTCTTGCTGAGCTGACCCTAAACCCTAAACCCTAAACCCTAAACCCTAAACCCTAGTGCTCCTTTTCTTACCGAGGCATCCTAGTGGGGCGTATTGTCGGCTTTGAAGCGGGGGACAGCCAAAAGCCACGAGTGCAGCTCGAAAGCGGGGAGTATGTGACCGCGGTGCCTAGCCCGAAGGCCTTTCTCAGCTTCCACCAACGCGTCTCAGCAGTCGAACAGTCGACTTTATTAGGGTTTAGGGTTTACCTGGACCCTAAAGAACCTACCTTTTTAGGGTTCCTTAGTATGGTTTCTTTATATAAGTCCTTGAAAAGGTAGGTTATTTGGGGTTTAGGGTTTATGGTGCAAAGCATCCCACCCCAATTCTCCCGAAGCCCGAAACACTCGGAAGCCCAAGTGCTAAGCCCAAAATCCTCTGATCAAACGATGAACCCTACATGACCCCGAAATTGGACTCCCCAAGTCTACATGAACCTTATAGCTACACCTAGTTAAGCCCCAAGCCCCCCAACTATGAACCTTTCAACCCTAAACCCTAAACCCTAACCAAGCCCTAAACTTAAGCCTTAGATGAACCCCAAAGCCTAAACCCTAAATCGAAGGAGTTCGACTGCAGCAACTGCCGGAGGGCATCTTCCGCTTAGAGGTTCCAGAATTGGCCGAGGAGGTGGGGGATAACGTTTGGGAATCTAGGGTTCAGGGTTTAGGGTTCAGGGTTCACGGTTTAGGGTTCAGGGTTCACGATTTAGGGTTTCGGGTTTGGGGGTCAGGGTTCACGCTTCAGTTTGAGGGGGTGGGGGGTCAGTTGAGAGTTTATGTTGAGGGTTTAGTGTTCAGTTTATCCTGGACCCCCCAAACTACCCTCTAATATACCCTAAATACCTTCTAGTATACTCTGAATACCCACTATCAAAAGACCATAAGGACTCTTTTAAAGGGTACTTGGGAGGTCCTGGATAGTTTCGGGGTTAGGGTTCAGAGATCGATTGTCAGGGTTTGGGGATCGCGGACCCTCAGGTGGAGAAGCCACGTTCCCGACTTCCCTTTTCTCCTGGCCGTTATGATGCAATCACCAGAGGCAGGGCGCAAGCGCTGAGGTTTAGGGTTTAGGGTTTAGGGTTTAGGGTTTAGGGTTTAGGGTTTAGGGTTTAGGGTTTAGGGTTTAGGCAGAGGCAGGGCGCAAGCGCTGAGGTTTACCTCATCTTGGGGGGGTCCTTTTAACACGAGTCCTACCTATAGTCTCCATTGTAGTTTCTTTTTGGGGTTACCTTGTAGGATCCTGAATATATAGTTGGTTAAACCCGCGAAAAGGAACTACAATGGAGACTACAGGTATTACTCAGGGTGTATACAGGATCCAATGGCTCGCATGACCGAGACTATTCCTCCGGAAACTCAGAGGTTCAGCGCACTGATCAAGTAAGTAGGGTTTATACAAGGGACTCAATTGAAGTTGTAAGTCGATGTGTATGTGCACATACGTATATATATATATATACATACACACATCACTTGCATATGTATGTATATATATATATATAACCATGAGTGACCTCACTGACTACACTTTTTACCTAGTCCCGGGATCCTTTCAGCAGAGCTTTGGATGTTTCGCCATCCAGCGGCCAGGGGCGGCAGCTGGGAGAGTTTCGCGCGTTTAGAGCTTAGAGTTTGGATATGGTTCTCATTGTTCATGGTGTTCCCAGTGTTCTTGCTATGATTATTATTCTTATTATGATTACTGCGACTATTGCTGTTAGTATTGCTGTTATTATTACAGCTATTATTACGATTAAAACTAGTATTCTTGCTATTAATGTTGCTGCTGTTATTACTGTACTACTATTACTAGGGCATTGGTTGGATGCTGCCCCCACTCAGAAACAGTTCGAGAGTATTAATACTATGGACATCCAAGGCCCCTCATGGTAGCGCTATCATTGCTGTTATTGTATGGGGGCAGTACATACCAACTTAAAGTTTACAGGCCCTAAACCCGAAGCCCGAAACCCTACAGCCCCACACCCTGAAAGCCTAAACTTTGAAGCCCTAAACCTTACATCCCCGCATCCCTAAAGCTAGACCTGATGCCCTAAGCCCTATACGCCCCCCAAACCTGTATAAACCCCCCTAAACCCTAAACCCTAAACCCTAAACCCTAAACCCTAAACCCCAACAGCCCTGGAAGGTCCCAATAATGTCGGTGCCTACGCCTGGGTCTCCCGACGCATTCGGAGCGCCAAGAGCGCCCGCCTGACCGCGAAGCCCGAGACTGAAGCGCCCAGGGTTTAGGGCTTAGAGGGTTTGGGGTTTAGGGTTTAGGGTTTATAAGCCCCAACTATACTTCCCGGTTCAGGTCTCTCTAGGATTTTCATGTCTCTAGAGGTTTATAGGGTTGCAGGGTTTATAGTCTTTAAGGTCTATAAGCTCATACGTACCTCTTAAGGCCCAAGATAAGGCTTCATTGAACCCGTGCTGCCCTTAGGCCTTATACGACTGGAAGCCCAAAGCCCTAAGCCATGAACCATACGTCTTAAGACTCTGCACCCTAGGCTCTAAACGTAAACTCTAACCTCTAGCTTTAAGCCCTAAACTCTAAACCCTAAACCCCAACCTCTAAACCCAAAGCTCTAAACCCTTAACCCTTACCCCCTAAGAAGCCCTCGAGCCTTCACAAGGAACTTTAAATCGATCCTAAGAGCTGAAATGGAGCTCGCAGCTATGTGCATGAGAAAGAGTTCGCGTGGATGGGGGTGCCACGGGCATCGAAGCCTAAGCTGTTCGGCGCTTTCAGGGCTTATGCGGTGTTTCTGGCAAGGGCTTGGAAGTCTGTGCGGTCAGGCTGTTTGGGTTTGATGGGTGTGAGCAAGTATCTGCATGCATGTATGCGTTCATGGGTATATGTATGTAAGTACGCACGCAGGATGTGCTTGCTGGGATGTTTAGGCTTTTCGGCGCAGGCCGAGAACAGAAGGGGTTCTAGTCGTAAGAATCTGTAAGGGTCTATTCTGGTTTAGGTTTTATCGGGTTCAGGCGGTCGTCGTTAGGTAAAGATCTCTTACCAGGGGGCCTCCCTTTTACATGCGGCTGTTGGTTTATGAAGGGCCTAAGGAGCCTCTTGGAACGCATTCTTCAAGACCGCCCACGTCGCCGGGAGTTTGGAGTCCCTTGAAGGGGCGCTGTCTGATATCAGAGTCTACCAGAAGATGCTGAGCAGTCCTCCGGCGACTTGATCATCACATACTAGTTACTAGTTGCGTGTGGTAAATCGTCATGTACTGTTGTACCGTCTGGTGTTATGTCACCAGAACATGCTGTATACACGGGTACGATAACACCTACCACATCCAGTGCTGGTTGTCATGTGAGACAACATGTATGCACGCGTCCACACACACACGTCTCATTACATACGCATGTACTCGCACTTGCATGCCTATATGACACAACGCTGACACACATACACCATGCATGCATGCATGCATGCAGACACATACCTGCCTGTCCACCTATCTATATATTTGCCCATCTACATTCATACATACACACATACAGACAGACCGACATACGGATAGGCAGACATACACATGCATTCATCCATCCATCCGTCCATCCGTCAAGCCATCCAACACATGTTGCATCCTGGCGCCAGGATCCCTCCCCTAGCCGAGCGACGCCTGACATTGGACCGCGGACGCCGCCTTCGCGCGTTCGCGCACCTGCATGGGAGCAAAAATGGCTGGGCGTGAGCTTTCGGCATCCGGCGACAGACGCACACAGACAGACAGACACACACACACACATTCACACACTGAAGGTTTAATTAGGAGTTGAAGTCCAGGTTTTAGGGTTTATGAAGACTTGAGATTCAGACCCCCAAAGTAGATTCCTTACTTTAAAGATTCATGGAAGGGAACCACTGATGTGAGGATTGTATAGAAAGAAATCGGGTTTTCCGGCGCTCGCATGCGGCTTGATTTGCTCCAAATCCCAAACCCCTAATCCCAAAATCCCAACCGATAAAAACTTTAGACACGCAGTCCGAAAAGCGCCGACTAAAACTTTGACCTGTTTAGAGCCGCGGCATTAGTTCCAAAATCTTTAGAACTAAATCCTAAAAACCCGAAACCCTTATGAAGCCCCCAAGCCCGCAAACGTCGCTCCCCAGGAGCGCCATCGTTCGATCCTTGCTCTGGCGGAGCATGGAGGTAAAGCCTGTGATGGCCCTGCTCTCAGATTTGCAGAGGTTTAGGGTTTGGGGATAGGGTTTACAGGGTTTAGGTTTTAGGTTTTAGGGTTTAGGGGTTGGTGGTTCACCAGTGTTTGGGTGTTGTTGAGTTGTTTTGCACCCCCAAGTTTTGACCCTGCATTTGCGAGGCCATGCTAGTGACAGCATTATTGACGAAACCCTAAACCCGGAGCCCAAAACCCTAAACCCTAAACCCGGAGCCCAAAACCCTAAACCCTAAACCCTAAACCCTAAACCCTAAAACCCTAAACCCTAAGCAGGCTTCCGACTTGCAATCTGATGTGATGTAGGGGCCTAAAGAATTACCTACACTATTTTTTGGGTGGCTCCTTATTGTAATTATAGTATAAAGGGCCCCAAAACCCTATTCTGGCCCCTACATTGCTCTTTAGACACTGAGCTCCAGACCTTGCGGTACAAAACATCCCAACATCCCATTCGATGTTATTTCTACTTATTTCTACCTACTACTACTTACTTCTACTTAATACTTACTACTACTTAGCATTTTCTAGACATTAGCACCAATGGCTGTCGGTTTAGGAAAGGAATCTACGCCACAAGGAAGCGGCTGGAAGACGTCTCAGAACACAAATCTGGGACACCATCGTTCAGGGCCTCCAACTTCAGAGCTTCACGTCGTTTTCGTGCAGGCTGCGATGCAGCCAAAAACTGCAAGACCGTCATTAGAATAGTTGTTCCCAAATAAAAGGGAGCAATATAGGGGCCTAAACAAGTACCTATACTATTTTTTTGGGGGGTATAGTATAAAGGGTCCCAAAACCCTTATTCTATTCAAGGCTACATTAGCACAAATGCGATGCGCTGCTCTCAGGACCGGAGAGGGTCGTCAGGACCCGCCCTTGCCGTCGCATGTGCTTTACATTTGCTTCTTGATTTACGATGAGATGTATGATCAGTTATGCTTTGCCGGAGATTTCTTGACAGATCCAAGAGTGGAGAGAACTTGGCATGCCAGCTGAAGCTTCTCTCATCTAAATTAAGAGCACCCGGCCACCTTGACCGGAGTATTTCCGCCGTTGATGTGCCATCCTTTGCCAGAGCAACCGAACACACAGGCAACAAGGCAACGAGCAACCGATCGCACTGGTGACTATCTACCACCCTAGCCTGCGCCAGCGCGATGCAGCCATCTGACGTAGGCTGGACGTAGCTACCTGCGCCCCTCGTCCTCGCCTGCAACTACCCCTCTCCCCTCTCTCGTCTCACTCCGCAAGTCTTTGTTTAATTCAAGGTGCAAGAAAGCTGGGTCGTAGCATAGGCTGTCCAGGGGTGCTGGCATCATAGAGCAGGGCTTCAGAGCTCCCAAAAGCTCATGTCCGGACAAACCCTGGATGATGGAACGGAGGCAGGACGAGCCCTGGTAGTAGGGTTCTGTGGTTTGGTAACTCTTCAAGCTCAGGCGCACCCTCCAGGGCTTGAGAGTTGTCGGGGTGATAGTAGTTTACTAGTGGGTGGTGGTCTCGTGGTTCATGAGGTGCTGCATTGATGGTGGCTCAACGATTTGGGTTGTAAGTTTTGGAATTGGGGTTTGTTCTTGATCAGTGTTTACTGTGTAGTAGCTGGGTAGCTAGGGTTTAGTTCAGGGTTCTAGAAAGGATGCCGGCAGAAAGAGTGGCAGCCTCAGAGACAGCGACAGCTGGGCACCATCGCGAAGAAACCCAAACCTGCAGAGAGGACAGCATCACTTGCAGCAGTTTTCAGCGACAAGCTCAACCGCGGGCCCGAACTCCAAACTACACCCCAAACCCCAAAACCTCTCTAAACCCCAACCCCCTAAAACCCTGAAGCCTCCTCAAGCCCTAAAGCCCTAAACCCCCAAACCTCTCGATCGGGTTTTAGGGTTCGGCGCAAGACGCCCCACCGGCCCGGAAGGTAGCAATCCCGTTACCCGGCAGTTGGTCGGTCGGGGCCTCTGGGGGTTTAGGCTTTTAGGGTTTAGGGGGGATAGAGTTGGCATTATTTGGCGATTATCATTAGGACTACGACGACGATATAATCGTTAGAGGGATTATTCTATAGGTATCGCTATGGGAAGGACTCGACTATTCGGTTGTCTTCGTTCGATTGGCTTTTTGGCTCCGATAGGTGCTGAGTTCATGGGACGAAACCTCGAGCCCCAGAATCACGTTCAAGGCCCGAAGCTTCACAGCCTCTGGTTGTCGCTGCAAGTTCGTTTCTAATGGGGCCAAATCCCCGATCCGACCCCTAAACCCTAAGCCCTAAGACAAAATCTGACCAAGTGTCTTGCTTAGACTTTTTCGCTGAAACACATTGGCCAATTGATTATGGTCTTTGTGCTTGGATGCACTGTCCTTTTCGTTAACCCCGAAGCCTTGAACCCTCTACTGACCCTGAATATCCCTGAACCCGAAACCGTAGACCTCAACATGTTCTCTGAGGGCTCGTCCAAAGAAACAGGGACCTCAAAATCCCTACAAACCCCTGTAACAACCGCACCGGGGATCCGAGGACAGCGACGATGAGACGGAGGAAAGAGCTACGCAGACCCCAGCACCCGCGGCCACGCAGGTGGCTCGGCCGAAAAGATTTGGTTGCACAGCTCCCATAAAGGAGATCGCATGGAAAGAATGGTAATCAATCGCACTTAGAAGCCCTGAACCCTAAACCCTCTAATATACTTTTCGGGTCCTTCATGCTGTTCTACGATGTTGCGCTTCAGACGCTTCTTTCAATGTCCCAAAAGACCCCCCCCCCCGACCTGAGAAAGCGCGGGGTCTGCAAGCCCCAATCGCCGCCATAGTCGGGTCCTTAGGACCCCTAAAAGGGGCCGAATATAGTGGCCTCAATAATCAGCCATACTATTTTGGGGGTTCCTTATTCCAATTATAGTATAATATATCTCAAGGAATATTGGTATATTCCCAATTATGGGTAATGCAGGATTTATATCATCAACCGTATTATAGGCTCTACAGTAGGGGTGGGAGAAAGTCATGCTGCAACTTTCTGGCCTCTAATGTGACATCGGCATGTCTTTTGATGGTCACTACATATGTCGCACTTTCGCAGTGACAGGGACAGCGGCAACTAGACGACTAGTGTTTCTGGTTCTAGATTCTAGCAGGTCTTCTTGTAGCTACTGCTGCAGTTGCTCTGCATTTGGGGTTTGTCCCCTATCGCTGTTTTGCTTGCTGCTAATCTGTTCGATGATGTTTACCGTTTTTACCAGTAGTGTTGCTACTCGCATAGTCAGGAGAAAGGTCATCTCGTGGCAGGCTCAGAAACATAAAGGGGTTTAGGGTCCTATGGCAATGACCGTGATTATGCATCTGTTACGATGTGTTTTTCTACGAAGAATGCTGCTTGTGAGGGTCTTATTACGATTATGACTGTTCGTATTCGTATCGCTAGTTTACTATTATGATATGTAACATTGTTGTCACTGCTATTCTTGTCGTCGCTCCGTTCAAGGCGCTAGCCATGCTGGCAGCGGCTCCTGGCCACGACCACGGCCGGAGGGACTTGGCGAATGCAGAAGGCCACCCCCTCAGGGTTTAGGGTTTAGGGTTTAGGGTTTAGGGAGGTAGGTCTTCGGGATGTTTGACATCTTCCCCTATTGGGTAGTTCTCTAAATTAGGGTCCATTTTTATGTCCCCAATGTAGTACGGCACCCTTATAGAAAGGACCCTAAAAGGGACCCTAATTTAGATAACCACCTTATAGGGCTGAAGCGAATCTTACTTACGCATATTTTTCAGAGGCATTCACGAGCTAACCTAGGACCCGAAATCCCGCAAGAATTGTTTCAGGCTTCTAATGGGCGTTTATCATGTGGGGCCTGGAAATTCTGAGCCGGCCGACATGCATAGTCTAGGTTCATTTTTTTGGGGTTTAGGGGCTTGGGGGTTTAAAAGGCTTCGGAGGTGGAGGGTTGAGGGTTTGTGGTTTTGGTTGAAGGTTCGGCCTCACAGTGTTAGGGTTCCGGGTCTTGGGATCCAGCATAAGGCGCTTCAAAAGTTGCTTGCAAAGCTGCACCCGTTGCTGCTCCAGATTCTGAAGGATCTGCATGTACTTGCTAACCATCATCCTTGTGCAACTAACTCCTTCCGCTCGCATAACTACAGCCCGAAGCACTTGCGCCGACTGTTTAAGCAAGCCCTCGAAACCCAACCGACCACAAGGAACCGTAAACCCCTGAACTCGGTGGAGTCACAGGAGTCCTGGGGTGCTGCCCCCTTCAAAAAAGCATGAATCAATCATGTTGCGCCCGCGGTTGGTAGGAATCGTACTGGTAATGGTACTAGTAATAGTACTATTCGGGCACTCAACCCGAATCTTTGGAGATGCCAACAGAGTTTCCAAGCGTTACTTTATTTGCCCCCC